TTTTCAACACATGGCACAACATACAACTTTATAGCAACATACAACTCTGTACTCAACATGCATCTCTTCATTTCACTTTCTATTCATCATACATCTCAATGTAATTATACAACTTCTTATTCAATTATACAACTATGCAACTTTAATAATTTTAACAACATGCAAACAACTTAATTAAACAACTATAGCCATTACAATATCAACTTAATGCAACTTAACAACTTTATAAACAACTTCAGCAATATACAATATATTTAAAATTCATCTATCATGTCAACTTACACAATATAAACAGCATAAATCAACTTAAGCACCTAACAACTCAACTATTTCAACAAAAGAACACCATGCGTAAAGCTTCCCTAACTCTCCTGAAATTAAATAACCTACATTCTAGCTTCCCTCACCTGAAGATTAGCTCAAAATAGTCAAGAACTGAGAAGAAGCGGAATTCCCTTTCCGAAGCTCAACCCGAGACTTCAATCCACCCAAAACAAGCTTCCTAATCTAGAGTCCTTCTCTCTAAAAACCCCCCTTCTCCTCAACTGCACAACCTCTATTTATAGAAATCTGAAGCTGGCCAGAACGGCCCGTTCCAAATCTGGAACGGCCCGTTCTAAGCTCCTTCGTCATGTGTAAAATTCACATGCAGAACGGCCCGCTCTGAAACCAGAACAGCCCATTCTAACACGTCTAGAACGGCCCGTTCTAGAGTTGAATTTAACTCACAATGACCATTTTGGAATGTCTCGTTCCAGTCCAAGATTCATAGGCCTATTTAGTAGTTTGGAACGGCCCGTTCCAATTTGGGAATGACCCGTTCTGGGCTACTAAATCATCCTTATTTTAGTAGTTTGGAACGATCCGTTCCAATCTGGGAACGCCCCGATCCAGTCTACTAACTACGTTACATGTAACATAAAATAAATAAATATAATAATATAGAAAATTTAAAAGAGATAAAAGTCCCTTCCCCTTATACCTTAGTAGAAACATAAAATTGATTAGAGATAACTTAAGTGCTCTTTCTCTTCTTCCTTTCTCAATTTCCCTTGAACATCTCCCCCACCCCCATCGATGCCTATTTATAGGCAAATTGGTAATGATTACCAATTTTTTTTCTTTCATTTAGTTAGAATTGAATGACCAATTCTAATCTCACTTTGTTAGAGCTAAAGTCCTTCACTTAAGGATAGAGGTTCGTATACTGTTGCAAATTTTATCTGCTACAGTATTTTTTTCCTCTTCCTTCTAATTACCTATATTATAAAGAATTTAAAATAATTTTATTACTTATATTAAACATTTAATGTTTAACAATTTAAATATTTATACTTCATAATAACAAATTTATTCTAAAAAATATTATAAATAAGATTTTAAAATATTATAATTAAATATTATATATTTTCATTTTAATTTATTGAAAATATTGTAATAAAAAATTTAATGTATTAAAATTATATAAAAGCATTGTACTTAATTTTTATTTTAAAATATGGTCACTAAAAATTTATATTATTATTTTAAGAATAAGATAATAATAAAATTGAGAATACTAAAATTATATAATATTGTATTAGAAATTTAGAATATTATACTTGGAAACTTACGCCTGGCTCTAAATTAAAATAGAGAGCATCCTAATCTTCTCACATCCGGCTTAACAAATCCATGCCCGACTTTAAGCTGAGATAGAAAGCATCCTAATCACTTCACACCCGACATGGACATTTTCATGCTTGACACCAGTATGTCTGGGCAATGCCTTCATGCACATGAAGGCACGCAAGGCACGCCCGACGTCAAGCACTCGAGCTCGGTGTCCCGTGCAATCCAACACCGAATCACACCATCATTAGAACAATAATCTCAAACAAACATCATGATAAACGATCATAGAAAAATCTAAATAGTCAGAACTCGTTTTAGTCTAGAAAATTCACCGTTTAATGTGGATTCATCCAATTAAACGTCTACGACTCTTATCCCTAAAATTCATCAATTCTTTTCCCTTAGGGTTTTAACCCTTTTTTTATAAAGCACTCAATTAATTACCTTAGAAACATCAGATCACCAAATAAAATTCATATTCAAAAATCTACTCGACAAACCACATCAAATGTACACAAAATTTCATCAAACATAATATTTATGGGATTGGGATCAATCTCTCTATCCTTCATGCATACACCCAATTATGAGAGATGAGTGTTCTCACTCCCCTTATCTGGAGTGATGTAACGTATGAAATTTAAGTTTCTACCTCCTCTCCGATGATCCCTTCTCCTTACTCTCTAGATGTGTTCTATTCAAAGTACATGAGCGTCAAAGGACGTGAAGATAAAATATACCATCCTTTCTCTGCCTCTCTTTTAATATATAGCTCCCGATAAACCCATTATTTTTAATTATTTCTAATTCTCCTCTTAATGATTAAATTTATTAAAATAAATAAAATAAAAACTGTTAAAATAAAATAAAATCATCATTATCTTCCTAATTTATAAAAATTATAGGGTCTTAGAGGCTAAAATCATATTGTAGATCTTGAATGACTAAAAGTGGTAAATTAAAATTAAGAGATCAAAATTGCACAATTGCGATACTTAAAAAACTAAAATTACTTGATTAAAATTTAATAAACTAAAATTAGATAATTAATATACTTAAGAGATGAAAACACATTCACTATTATTATACCAAATTTATTGTAATGTATTAAAATCATACTTTTTTTTTTGAAGAACATTAAGCATAATGTCTTATTTCAATATCTTATTGTAAAATGTATATTTTTTTTTTAAATAACTCATCGTCATTAATGTCATATATTAAACCATAAAAATATGCTTATAAAACCTAATATATCTATTTTTTTTTCTCTTGGTATCAAATTATTACACTCTAAACAAGATTGTAAGTCAAAAATCAAAGTTTTATATATGTAGGCCACATCATGTCTTGAACAAAAGAAAACTATAATAATTAAACAAACCAAACTCAGGTAATGTATTTTTAATCAATGCCTATTTATTTTCACCCCAAATGTTAACATACTCATTTTTATTAACATATTCATATATCGTATTCATATGAGTTTGTATTAATGAAATTATATGCATATAAGTTGTAGTTGTATTAGTTATTGTTGATACAAATGTTTCAAAAAAAATTGGCCTCAATTTGCATTTTTCATTATGTGAATTTGACATTCTTTGTGACTATTAAAATCTTTTTTTAATGAATATATTTACTTAAAAAAATCCTTAATATTAGAGATAAAATCTTTTTAGTGAGTCTTTACTAACCCTTAGTTCTATAAGTAAATTTTAAATTAAATTAGATATTAAGTTTTAATTAACTACTAATAAATAAACGATGGTATTTAGTTTAAATATCCGCTAATATATATGTCATTAACTCATTGCCTTAGACATGGTGGTGTCATCCCATATCTCTCACTCTTTTTAATAAAAGAAAATTGTATCTATATTATTAATATCTATGATATATATGTAATATTTATATCATTTAAAAAAATATCTATATTATTAATATCTATCATATATGAATACTAATACAAATTAAAAAAAATATATCATTTACAATCATATTAAGTATAGACTAATTAACATAGAGTTATAATTCCAAAAAATTATTAAAAATTGAGAGCAAATTTCGAAAAAAAAATATTTGGGGTGAAATTCGCGAATAAGTAAAAATTTAGATGGCATAAAATGAAATTAAGCAATTCAACATTCCATTTGTATTTTAACGCACGATATATTAGTGTACAAAATGCAATGATCTGAATTAAGCCTTAAAAAGGATGTAAAACTTGATTTGACTGAAAACAAAGGCTTGTGCATCTATACGAAGAACGGTTCGTACATATTTACATTTCCAAAATTTAAATTCTCATTTAATACTCTCCGGAACGCCAGCCAGCTAAATTCAAAATGAATTTCATAAGGCATCAAAGATATATGAAAAGTAGTTTCAAGACCAAGACCAAATTTTAGGATTAGATTGTTTGGAACTTGTCTATGAGTAATATTTCATGAATTCTAGATGAAAGGAAAAATATGAGTTGTTATATATAAATATTTTAAAATTTAAATATTTATAACATAAAAATAAATATTTTAATTAGAAATAAATGTTTTATTACATTAAATAAATGATGTAATGTTAATCAATTTAAAAAAAATGTATTACATTTTTCATATTTTACTTATATATTATTGTTTATTATAAAGTGTTATATAAATAATAATGAGACAAAAAAACATTAAATTATAAGGGTCAGCATAAAATAAAAAATATATATATTTAAAGGACTAAAACAATTGGAAAATTTTAGAAAGACGAAATATAAAGATAATAGAATTTTATAATCTTCACGCCTCAACTTTTAGTTTTCTCTTTCCTTTTTTTGGTGGCTTAATTTTGGATTTTGTCGTTTATATTTCACAAATTTTGTTATCAAAATTTTAAATTTAAATATTTGTTAATCAATTTTAAAAATTTTACACATTTTATCAAATCATAAATTAATCATCTAATATCATTAATTATCATTAACATAACATATTGATGATTGACATAATGTGTTATATAATAACTAAATAATCGATGTGTCATTTTAATAGTGGACTAATAAGTATAATAAAATAATAAATTTTAAAAATAGGATGACAGAATAAATACATTCAAAAATTAAGTGAGAAAATTCAAAAAAAAAAATTATGAAATATATGACAAAAATACAATTAAATATTTTTTGTTTTTTTCCCCCGATGATCTTTCTTCCATCCATGTCACTCATCACACTTATAAATAGGCTGCCATCGTACTTCTCATTTATCAACTTCATACATTTTTGTCTTTGAACCCAACTCGATCATTTCTTTTATTTAAATACAGTTTTAGCCATGAGTTGGTCTCTTGGTTTTTCCTGGTTACACCTTGTATCCTTTTGGTCTTGTTTGCTTATTATGATTTCTGGCTTTACTACTATCAAAGCCTTAAGATCTCACATAATTGAGAAACAAAAACTGCCCCCAGGTCCCAAACCTTGGCCTATAATTGGTAACCTCCCTGAAATGCTTACAAACAAACCTGTATTTAGGTGGATACATAATCTTATGAAAGAAATTGACACCGAAATTGCATGTATCCGCTTAGGAAATGTCCACGTAATCCCAGTGACATGCCCCATCATTGCACGTGAATTTCTAAGAAAACATGATGCTCCTTTTGCATCAAGACCAATAAGTATAGCCACGCGTATCATCTCTAGTGGATATGTGACAACAGCTCTTGTACCCTTTGGTGAACAATGGAAAAAAATGAAGAAAATCATAGTCAATGATTTGTTCTCTCCCCTTAGGCATCAGTGGCTCCAAGACAAAAGGAATGAAGAAGCTGACAACCTTATGTTTTCCCTCTTCAACAAATGCAAAAATCCGAATGATGGTAGTCTTGTAAATGTTAGGAATGCTTCTCAGCATTATGGTGGTAATGTGATTAGGAAATTAATTTTAAATAAAAGGTATTTTGGAAAGGGTAGGGAAGATGGAGGGGCTGGTTTAGAAGAAGTAGAGCATGTAGATGCCATTTTCACTTTGCTTAAACACGTTTATGCCTTTTACGTTTCTGATTATATCCCATTTTTGAGGATCTTTGATTTGGATGGCCATAAGGGCGAGCTGAAGAATGCTATGAAGATCATGAAGAAATATCATGATCCCATCATTGAAGAGAGAATCAAGCAATGGAAAGATGGATCAAAGACCGTTGAAGAGGACTTGCTGGATGTTATGATCTCACTCAAGGCTTTCCCTTTCTTCATTTTATTTTTCACTCATGCACACCAACACATGCATTTTCCCATTATAGGAACTATTACTTTTTAGCAAAATAGTTTTGGAAAGGTAGTTGCAAGAGAAAAAGAAAAAATATTAAGATTTGAAAGTAACTGTACAAATAATTGAAAGTGAGTGTTTTGTTTATACGGAGAGTAAGTGATCATCTTAGAAATTACGGAAACCAAATTATAAAGATATCTAAGAAAAAAAAAAAACTAAAAATAAAGTTATCAAATGAAATATTTTCTTTATGTGTAGGTATAAATACTTCACAGTATGTCCTTTGTCTATTACGATTATGCTCCAACAACCACAACTTTTTTTAACTAATTTATCCTTTCTGTTTCGAATATATAAAACAACAATAGTAATAAATAATGTTCTCTATTTAGTTCGTTTAATAAATATGTACAATGAAATTTGTGGCGGAACCAGTTAGATAAGGAATGTTCGGTCACAAATTTCTTAACAAAATGTATTTTACACATTTAAATGTAGAATTCATGATATATTGGTTTACATCAATTTTAACGATTCAACCGTTGAATTTAAAGTTCTTAATACATAGATCAAATATTTAAATTTTTAAAAAAATTTAAAAATCGTTTGATACTTCATTTCATTAATTAAATCAATGTATAAAATAATTTTAGGATTATCTGTCAATTTGAATTAATGAAATGAAGTACGTATCAAACGATTTTCAAATTTTTTAAAAATTTACAAACTTGATCTATACATTAAGAACTTTAAATTCAACGATTAAATCGTTGAAATTTGATATAAAACTTGAGTTATTATACATAGTAAGTCTAGGAAGATTTATTCTTAAAATAAACAGATCCCTCCATATATATATATATATATATACACATGTATGCGTGTGTGTAAGATGCAATTTTTTGTCTGAAAGTGAGTGTTTTGTTTATACGGAGAGTAAGTGATCATCTTAGAAATTACGGAAACCAAATTATAAAGATATCTAAGAAAAAAAAAAAACTAAAAATAAAGTTATCAAATGAAATATTTTCTTTATGTGTAGGTATAAATACTTCACAGTATGTCCTTTGTCTATTACGATTATGCTCCAACAACCACAACTTTTTTTAACTAATTTATCCTTTCTGTTTCGAATATATAAAACAACAATAGTAATAAATAATGTTCTCTATTTAGTTCGTTTAATAAATATGTACAATGAAATTTGTGGCGGAACCAGTTAGATAAGGAATGTTCGGTCACAAATTTCTTAACAAAATGTATTTTACACATTTAAATGTAGAATTCATGATATATTGGTTTACATCAATTTTAACGATTCAACCGTTGAATTTAAAGTTCTTAATACATAGATCAAATATTTAAATTTTTAAAAAAATTTAAAAATCGTTTGATACTTCATTTCATTAATTAAATCAATGTATAAAATAATTTTAGGATTATCTGTCAATTTGAATTAATGAAATGAAGTACGTATCAAACGATTTTCAAATTTTTTAAAAATTTACAAACTTGATCTATACATTAAGAACTTTAAATTCAACGATTAAATCGTTGAAATTTGATATAAAACTTGAGTTATTATACATAGTAAGTCTAGGAAGATTTATTCTTAAAATAAACAGATCCCTCCATATATATATATATATATATACACATGTATGCGTGTGTGTAAGATGCAATTTTTTGTCTAATATATTAATTAAAAGTATATACACTTAATTAAACTTGTTGTAGGAGTTGATGATGGCAGTGGTGGACAATCCAACACAGGCATCTGAATGGGCACTAGCAGAAATGATAAACCAGCCAAAATTGCTTGAACGAGCCATGGAAGAATTGGACAACGTGGTAGGTCTAAAGAGACTAGTTCAAGAATCAGATATTCCTAAGCTCAGCTTTTTGAAGGCTTGCGTGAAAGAAACTTTTCGGCTTCATCCCGTTGTGCCTTTCACTATTCCTCATGTTTGTATGGAGGATACAGTGGTTGCTGATTACTTGATCCCAAAGGGTAGTCATATACTACTGAGTAGAAGTGGTCTTGGAAGAAATCCAAAAGTGTGGCAGGAACCCCTCAAATTCAAACCAGAACGCCACCTCAAGAGTGATGGGTCAGATGTAGTTATGACAGAGCCAAATTTAAGGTTCATTTCATTCAGCACAGGAAGGCGCGGTTGTCCTGGAATAATGCTTGGCACCACAATAACTGTAATGTTGTTGGCTAGGTTGCTCCATGGCTTCACTTGGACTGCACCTCCTAATGTGTCAATCATCAATCTTGCTGAGTCCAAAGCAGATATGTTTCTTGCTCAGCCACTAGTCGCAGTAGCAAGACCAAGATTACCTGCAGAATTATACCACACCAAGTGAACATTTATTAGAGGTAACCTCATGTATAAAGCCATGGAGCAACACTGATGTTTACACATAAGGCGAATGAATCAGCGAATCAGAGGGTCATGTAATTAACTCAATATCATGAACTGTGAAGCATAAATAAGGACGCAAAATGTTAGTTTATTAGTCGATTTCAAGTAACTATAATGTACAGTATAACAAACATGTGTTTGAACTTCTTTTTGTTAGTTATTATAATTAAAAATAGGTTAAATTGTATTTTTTTTATCTCTCTATATTAATATTTGTCATTTTAATTTCTCAATTTTAAAGTGTGTAAATTTAATCATCCAATTTTATAAAATTCACAGTTTTAATCTGTTAAATGTTTATTGTTAAAATTTTAACATTAGTTATATATAACAATTAATAATAATATTTTCACTTTTTGTGAAGTAGAGTAAAGGATTTAACTCGGTTTCCAACATTGATGCCACAATGGTTCAGTGACAATGTGACAGCAATATCAAGCTCCGGTGGTATAGCATCTACAAGAATTAAGTGATTAGTATTTGTTGGGATGTGTATATTGAAATTAGAGTCAATGCGTACCTCAGTGTAGGGGTCACCTTTATATAGAAATGCCACGTAGCCGTCGCCATTATTACTTATGCACATGTACCAAGTATTTTACATTTAACATAAAATTCAAGTCTAATTTTAGATGGAACAAACCCTAGCTAAAATCAGACTAGCTATATCTTAAAAGGAGAAAGATCGGACACAAGTCAGTGTTATTTTGCAAAAGTAATGTCAACTTAAGAGTTTTTGAACTCCATAAAATTTTATATGAATCAAAACTGAGTTTAAAAGAGAATAATGTACCAAAGTAAACCTTCGTAAATAATTGAGGATTCATCTTAATCAACAACTTTGTTACATGTGTAACCTCTTTCTGGGACATTATCACCGTGTATTTTCTTTTGAAATTTGGAATTTTGCCTGTACACGATCTCTTCTTATTTGTAGTTATTTTTTTATAAAAAAAAATGGTTTAATCACATGTTTTCTTTATTGAGCTAGCACTCCTTGCCTTTTTCCCCCATTTTTGGCCCAACTCTTCATTTTTTGCTCCACATTTGTCTTTCAAGTTTTCTTATATTCTTCTATTATTCTATTTCATTATGGTTTTATATTTTCCTTCCTCGCAGTTATTGTTCTTCTTTTTCCCAATTCTGCTTTTCAAAAGATGGCATCGCGCAATCGCAATGATAGGCCAGTTTTGGTAACATAAGTCATGACTCAAAACCTAATTAATCGCCCTCCTTTTTACGATCGACTGGCCTCTAGTTGTTGTTTCAGTGTTCCTCCCCGAAGATGTTCATTATTACCCAATTGTAGAACCTAGTGTGTCACTTCTTGTTAATTTTCATCCAAACTAGGGACGTAGAATGAACTCTTGGTTTCCTGAAACTAGTGACGAATCATCATCCGATCATAACTTTCATTTTCACCATAGACACGTTGTTTGAGAAAACCCTAACCCTTATAAACTTTTTTCAGAAGTCATCAAAATTCCGGACTTAGTCTTAATGTTAATCCTTCTACTTTGAGTCAAGGGAAAGCTTTTCCGGAAGGAGAAATCCTTATGTATGATTGACATTATTTTTTTTTATCAAAATTACAAATTTTTTTATAATGTATGTGAATATATATATTAATAAGATCTGTATTATAAATTTTCAATTCTGATTAAAAAAAAATAACATTAATCATACCCTATACCTATTTTTGTCTTTTTCAAAAAATCTTAAACTCCCTATGATCTACGATCCCACAAGATCGTGATAGACATTTTGCTTACATAAGATGAAAGAGCAGTAACTGTTAATCCCAGCACTACAATAAAATAAGTTTTTATTAGTGATATTTAATATAATTTTTAGTGGTAATAAAAATTATTACTAATATTCTTTAAAAACCCTTATAATAGTCGAAAAAAGTATATAACTTTTTGTACTATTTTTTTATTTTCTAGTCGATGTGAAACTTTGTAAGATGAGTACAAATACTCTTTAATCACCTTATTTCTAGTCGATGTGAGACTTCTAAGATACAAATACTCTTTAATTACCTTATTTCTAGTCGATGTGAGACTTGTAAGATACATATACTCTTTAATTATCTTATTTCTAGTCGATATGAGCTAAACTTGTAAGAGGAATGTTGTCTTCTACTTATATATTCTTTAATTTTTTTTTAATTGTCTTATCTCCTATTAAGTTTGGTAATGGTGAGTAATCTAATACAGCTTAGAATAGTAAGTTATAAGTTTAATTCAACCATACAAAACAAACTTGTAAAGTGAGAATTATCATCCATTTATATACTCTTTAAATATTTTATTTCTAGTTATTGTGGGACTTAAGTTTTTTTCAATAAATAATTGTCGCTATTAGTAAAGTTTGGTGTGATGTAAATACATTTTTAGTAGTCATTAATATTTGTATTAAATAATAAAATAAAGACAATTAATTTATTACCGTTAAATAATTATCGGTAATAATAAATTTTGTTATAATGTAGAGACCCAACTTTAGGTATTCCCCGAGATCAAACTTGGGATATTCCTGTATCGTGTGCCGAATGATGATACTAATATACGTACGTACCTTACAGTAACATAGAAAATTGTTATATAGTGATACATACCTTACAGTAACATAGAAATTGTCACTAAAAATTATTTTTACTTACATAATAAATATAATATATGTTAGTATATTGTTAAAAAAGTATGGGAGTATAGGCTATAGTGACACACAATATGTCGTTAAATCTCATTCAAAATCAACACTAAAATTGTGTGTAATTATATATGTCAAATTAATATATACTTACATATATTATACTTAATGATATTTTTTGCATGTCATTATATGTAACATTTATTGTAGTGTAAAATTAAGGAAGCAGAAACTCAACCAACCTATTTGAAAGAATGCGAAACTTATCTTGAACATTTCAAAATTGATTTTTCTCTTGAAAGTTTCTACTTCCTTTTTTCGTTTTTTGTGAGGCTCTACCATCAAGTGCATGTATACATGTTGTATATATAACTTGGTAATCCAGTTTTTATTTTTCAACAGTAGTTGAGTACTATTGTCGTAAAAAAAATAGTATATTTTATGACATAGATAATTAATTAAATTGTTCCATAAAAATAGATTAAATAACTTTTTCGTCCATGTAAAATAAGGATTTTTGGTTTTACCCCTTTTTAAAAACAATTCAATTTTGTTCTTCAATTCTTTTTTCATTTTTGTCTTTGTTAGTATTTTCAAATTGACTGTTAAATGAACAACTAAAATTGGTCTAATGATAAGAAGTAGATAATATGCATAGGTTTAAAGTTTAAATTCTATTATTATCATTGTAATTTCTACCGATAAAAAAAATATTGACTGTTAAGGCTATGTTTTTTATATTTATTGGCATGTACCAAAGCACTAAAATAGAAAAACGTGTGTCTTAATGAATTTAAATGAATCCATGTTTGCATATTGCAAATGGAAAAACAAACACACACACTAAGTCTAGTAGAAAAAAGGTTAGAAAACTATATGGAGAAAAATAGAAAAATAAAAAAAAAATATTGGGACTAAAATTTTGAGCACCTATATAAAAACAACTAAAATTTGGAAAGATCAAAATAAAAATAACAAAAATTATGATAATTAAAACAAAAATAATCATATTTTATAAGGACTAAACATCTATTTGAGTCAAATTTATAAAACTTTTAAATATTGAAATACAATAATATGGAGTAAAAAATATACCTACAATAAATGCATTGGTGACTATAAAAAAAATATATAAATAAATGAACATAACATCATAAAAGTCATACATGAATCACACAATTACCCTCCCAATATAAAAAAAAATATAACAAGTAGAAGAACTATTTACATAATATATGATTGACATAACAAATTGAACACTACAAGATTCATTAAATAGAGACTGATTTAGAGACCAAATTTATATAGTCACTTTAGCAACTTATTTAAATACTATTTTAGAGATTGATTGTAGTTGGTCTTTAATTCAATCTCTATTGTTATTAATATTTTTAATGTAATTAGAGACCAAACTTTTAGTAGTTAATAGTTTAAAAAATATTATTTATAATTAGATACAACTTTTTTAGTCTCTAATTAAAATATAATTTGAGACAAAAATTTTTGTCATTATTAAAACACTTTAGAAACCAATATTTTAGTCTTAAGATGCACTAAAATTAGAGACTAAATTTTCTAGTTTCTAATTTAAATATTACTAGAGATTAATTTTTTGGTCACTATTAACTCAATTTAGATACCATTTTTTAGTATCTAATTGTTCTATATTAGAAACTAATGTATTGGTCTCTAATAAAAATATAACAAGAAACTAATATTTCAGTCATTGTTAAATTATTTTAGACACAAAAATATTTGATCTCTAATTAAAATACACTAATAAATAATAATTAATTTTTTATTCACTATAAGCTCATTTTAGATTTTCTTTAGTATCTAATACAAAAATATAATATACAACTAATTTTTCACTCATTGTTAATTTATTTTAGATAAATTAGACTCTAATTAAAATACACTAAAAATTGATATTTTTTTGTCATTTTTAACTCATTTTAGAAACTATTTTTTTAAGTATATAATTAAAATTAAAAAAATTAAAATATTAATATTATTTATATAATATTTTGTTTTATAACTATCAAAGCCTAATCTTTAAATTTATATTTTATCTAACTTATCAAAACTCAAAATTTTCTAAAGTGTATGGCATGAATATATATTGATACCATTATTATCTGATTAATTATATACCAAAAAAACAAATTAAGAACCTAAAGCATCAAAGATCTAGCCGTGTAAGAGATGGGCTTCAAGGGCTACTGAATAATTTAATAATAATGAACAAAGGTAAACCTTTTGAAAAAAAATAAAAAAAAAATGAACCAAGACATTTTCGTTTTGAGACGAAGAGCCTCCACGAGAAACGAAACTACGCGTCGAATATAGGAGCAAATATAGGCGCATCCGCGCTTTCTTCTTGTCCACGTGTGGAGTGTTCATCTTTAAACCCTCACCCTCACCTTTACCTTCTAATTTCGACTCTCATGTTTAAGTCGCTGAGGGTGTTTGAGCTTGTGGAATCTGTGGTGGAGGTAGAGGATGATGAGGAGGTCAATTGGATTTTGTGTTTTCCCAAGACCCAAACCAATATGGAGTCTCTTGTGTTCGATTGCGTTGAGTGTCCTATTAATTTCGAGGCTTTGGTGGCTAGGTCACCTTCCTTGAAGAAGCTTCGTTTGAACCGATGTGTCTTCATGGCGCAGCTTTACTGGTTAATGGTTCAGGCTCCGTAGCTTACTCACCTTGGAACCGACTCATTCAGTGCTACGGAGGGTGCGCTGGTTTTCGATCAAGAGCTGGATTATGCCGCCGCATTTGAGCTATACTGGTTAATGATTATATTATGCCATTGTGTGTTTTGATTGTATTCTTGTGGATTTGAATTTTGATTTGGGGCAGATTGGTGTTTGGATGTTGTTCTTGTACAGGTGCTTGATTCGATATGCGATGAAGGGCTTCAGGCAGTGGTTGTGGCTTGCAAGGACTTTATAAAGAGATTAACATAAGTGAGATTCAATTAGTTCTTTATGTATACAAAGTCAATTTTTGAAGTGTTAGCAAATATCAAAATACGAAGTCATGTTTTAATCAGGAAAAAATTGACTTGAGAAACGAAAATAAAAATATTTTTTTGTCTCTATACATGTGTGTTTGATGTCAATACTGAATATATAATATTTTCTCTTATTTTGGTTGAAGGATGTGATTTTTTTAAATACTTTCACAGAGATATGGTTCTTGCAGTTATTAATGGACTTAATGGAACCAAAACAATGAGAGTAAGAAAAAATTATGTATTTTTTTTTCCTTTTAATAATTCTCCTTAAGAAAGCATTTTGGTTAATCTTGTATTTTTCTACATAGGGTTGTGAGCAACCACTAATTGTTCGGTTTGCTGATCCCAAAAGGCCTCGTCAAGGAAATTCCAAGTTTGTCTTGTCTAATTGATAATCTTTAAACATGAAAGAGTTGGAAATGCATATTTTATATGATGATTTCTATAATTTCCTTATTGGCAGGTGCTACTCATAATTCTACCAGGGTTGCTTAGGTATGTACTTTCTTTTACATGAAGTAAGCTGAGTCTGGAGTAGTTGTGGTGAAAGTAGCTAATCATTTGCCTCCTCCTCATAATAGTGGATGCTTCAAGTACTTGGTGCCAGAAGTTACATAGGTTGCATAGGAAAGGACAAATTTGGGGAAGAGATGAAGAAGAGTTTCTGGCTTTTTCCTTACTGTATCTCCTGATTCGATAC